GGGACCTGAATACACTTGAGAGCGCGAAGATCAGATGAAACAGAAGTATCCACATCTCTTTTCTAATCCATGATTTGTATTCTATATTCGAATTTCGGGACGAAATTCCCTCTAACGGGGGGGGGGGGTGATGTGACAACCCGAAATTTCTAACTTGTACATTTTTCATTTTATCAAAGTTAGCCTTCATTTTACTATCTTATAACGAAAATTATGGGTCTATATGAGTGTTCTAGGCTTAGTATAACATGGATATGAGTCTTAGGAAGGGTTAGAAAGTGTGTAGCATCACAAAATCGGGCCAAACACATCAAAGAAGGTGTGTGTGGCCGCACACCCGCGTGTGCGGCCAGCCAGCCGCACACCCAACCGCACACACCCTCCAGCCTCACACCCGACCCTATATATTGGAGGAGACCCCCTTCATTCACTCTTTTCCTCTTTTGGCTGCACCCTACTCTCTCTCTACTTTCTCTCTCTAGAAACATCATCCAAGAACACTCTAAGGGCCTCAAAAACGTGAAGCACTCCATCATTCAGCTTGCTATATTGGTAAGACACCTGAATCTAAGCTTAAAACTCATAGTGTTCTTCGTGTTCTTCATCCTTTGAAGGTGTACGGTCCGCACACCTTCATAAGGTGGCTGCACACGCCTTAAAGACTCTCCAAGGTGAAGAGTTTGGCCTCCATTTGCTAGTTGGACTTGGTATTAGCACTAGAACACCTCAAAACACCTCAAAATCGACATTTCTGGGCTCAAATGAGGAGTGTACGGCCGTACACTCCTATGTACGGTCGCACACACCCTCTGTACGGCCGCACACTCCTGTGTGCAACCGCACACACAACGTGGCTGCACACCCTGGCCGCACACCCACTCAAATGGCCGTACACCTCCCTTATTTGATCATATAGGGTCCCGACAAGCATTTCCAAGTCTTTAGGGTGATTTCCCGTCATGTTTAGCCATGAAACACCCTAATTCTAACACACATATATGTTATCATATGTTAATAGGATCCACTCGTGTTCGAAACATCGGTTGACACTCAACACTCGTAACCAATTGTGCTTTCGGATCCTACGATAAACTGTGAGTTCATACCCCTACATTTTCCGTGTTTTTAATGTTTTGAGGGGGGGGGGGGGATACAAGCCAAACTCAAAGTAGTTTATTAAGTTTTAAACTTATTAATGCAGTCCAACGATTTCCACGTTTAATAACATATTCGGATATTTTATCTCTCTTTGTAATATGTTGAACATATGGGAAACTTCTATTTTGGAAATCCAACTTCATAGCTTTCAGAAAGGTTTTACAAAGCATTTTCCAGATCAACTCTAATAAACTATTATGGGTATAGTTTGGGATAACCCTCTAGGCAGTCTCTACTTAATCAGATTTCATAAATGAACATATATAAACTATGGCAGATTTAGTTTATGTTATATGTTTTTCTCAGAAGTATAAAGTACATTTATTCAAGGATAATTACTGTTTTATACTGATTTCTCGCTAGTAAACTAGATTATAAAGAATTGTGAGGCGCTACTTCAATACTGTACGCTTAGGTGTATAGTGATAAATCCTTTTAGTATAACCAGAGTCTCCTGGAGGGAGAGCGTGAGATTTGTGAGTAGATTTATTCGGGACTGACAATCCCACACCTGAACTGCTAGCTACAGTTACGCGGGCACGCCTGGGGTGAACAAATGTCATTTAGCTTAACGCCTGAAGAACGTTATAAAGGTCTCTCGGTCATATCAAGTATGGTTATAAGACTCGCAAATAAGTATAAACTAACTTTGTTTACAGACTCTCTTCTTCATTTGTTTTATTTTAAGTAATAAACTACTTTTATATATGCCGTTAGTAATCAAGGACTTTTTAACTGGCATCTCTACCTCTAGGACGGATACCTTGTTTTCTAAAACGGATGGTTTATTTTCTACTAATAGACACTCTTTCAAGACCGCTTTCCATAAGAAAATACAGGATTTTCTTGAAGAACACTTTTCAAATGGATTCAAAGAGCATTTTCTCACTAAAATCAAATGCTTATGAACTCACCAGCTTTATGCTGATATTCTTTCAAAACTGCTTGTATTCTCAGGGCATCAATAGACAGGTACTCTTGCCGACTTTTGGAGAAGATGGAACATTCTGAAGTCACGTCTTTTACTTTTGCTATATGCTGTTATGTATAAATCATGTTTTTGAACAATGTAAATATTCATATTATAATGTAATGGTTGTGTTTACTTCGCTTACTATGATACAACTGTTGTGATACTACGCATGACGTCCTCCGCCCCGGAACGATTCCGCCATCATGGTTTCGGGGTGTAACAAGAAGATGTTGGATAAGGAACTTGTTGTAGCAAGTGGTTCCTTTTAGAATGTCGCTGAATAGATCAAGAGGCATTTGGGATGCTCAGGTTGAGCATTGAGTGCTGAGGGATTCCTTGACTCGTCGTATAGATTTTGTTTCCCTATTCTAGGGTGGACAATATTGATTGTTAAAGTATCTTCAGATTTTGGTATGTCTGGTCTGTCCTGGGTTCGTGCAAGTAACATATAGGGATTATTGGGTTGGTTGTTAATGCAGTCTCGATTGTTGGTCTCTTCGTTCGTAATCAAAAGTGGAGGATCTTTGGAAGTTTCAAGTGTGTCAGTTGAAGTTCAATGGATGCATCCACCTATCATCAAGAACTGTTATATGCCATTTTGCATGTCATGGGTCGATAGTGGGTCGTATCTTGTCGAGTGGGTTTCAGTGTGCTCAGTTGTGTTCTGATTCTTCGATGGGTAAATTCAGGGGTATTGTTTGGAAGGTTCATGGTGGGAACAACGGGTTAGTTCTCCAGTGAAGTAAGGGTTTAGTGGTTTTATCATCTGTTTTGGTATGATCGACGGTCGCCTAAGGAAGAATTTTGGGTTCAAGCACTACCGTTGCTAGGAAACACTACAAGAAAAAGACCCTTTTATGACGCGCAAACCACGACACTCATTGATTTATGTTACGCAAAAAAGAGTGACATTAAAAAAGTGTCATCTCTTCAAAAAATTTAAGGATTTAGGTCACACATTATTGCGTGCCCTTAAATTAGTGTTGCATGTAAAATTATAAAAAACACGGAGGGCACTTTATCTAAAACGTGCGTCCTCTGTGAATGTCGTTTTATATATTTTTTTAAGAAACACGCGTCTCCTAGAGGGAAAATGAAATCCCTAAAATTTTTAAACCCCCGCCTTCTTCTCCCTCGTCTCCACCCCTCACCCACATCGACCGCCTCCAATCCTCGTTCCCTCTTCTAGCCTCATGCGGCGATGCACCTTCCTTCTCGAAGAACACTAAAAACACCTTATCAATCAAAACCATTTTCCGTTCCACACGAACGCTTCGCAATCGATGACCTGATCAGCCTCGCCTAACCTCGCCGATAATCTCTGTCTCACCTCACCTCGTCGGCGACCTAAGGTTCACCTCTCCTGGCATGCGACTGCGACTCCCAAAAGATTTAGTGTTATGCTCGATGCTTCTCAACAAAATCGATCCAGGTGTCGTAGCTCCTATCTCATAGCGATTTAGGGCTTTCTTGGTTTAAGGTATCGAATCTCAAACATCTATGACTTAGGGTATTTTGATACAAGGTGTATCTGTGTACTTTGATTCCTCCAATGACGAAGCCACAATGTTGGTTTCAAAAATGCAAAACATGGTAATATTTGTTTCTTTTTTTAGTTTATCTGAGTTCGAAAATGAAAAGACTATATTCTTTTATTGAATTTCTTTAAAACAAGGGTAACTACTTTGATCATAAAAGTCAAATTATATCGCATTTTTCATGAACGTGGTCTTGATATGGATCAATGTCTGGTCCTGTAAATCAGGTTCCTCCTGCAACAACTCATATAGGGCAAGTTAAACTGACTAGTCACCAAAAGGTCGTAGAGACTGTTGCTCTATGAGAAATTGGTCATCTTATCATCCTCAAACATCAATAAACAAACACACAAGGACCACTCTGCAGTTTCTTGTGTTCATATGGAGTGGTAAGTTTCTTGCAGAATGCTAATTCAGTTGCCTTTGACTTTCATCCATTCTGCAGTTTTCCATATTGACCTTTTATATTTTTGACACTTTGTCAGCTGAAAGTACTATCTTTGGTCAAAGGTTTGGGAAGCCAAGTTATGCTAGTTAAAGAAGTCAACTCTTTGCTAAGTGAACTGTTAGAAAGACGCAGTCATGATAAATCCCATCAAATATTGTCAAAGACAGAAGTTCAAATCCTATGTCTTCTACTAGAGGTAATTAATCTAAAAACTTTACATAATCATAAGCCTTTAATATCTCATTCTTTCATTGAATTAATTTTTTCTCCCTCTTCTTAGTCTTGTACAAAGCTTACCTCAGCAACTGGTGGGCCTGTTGTTGAATCATATATTTTGAAGACTCTTCAGGTTGATCGTTCATACTCTGAAGATCAATCCATCATACAGCCATGTGCGACTGTTTTAAGATGTCTTAATAGCTCTCTATATGGTAGTTTCAAGTCTGAAACACAAGAGCTTCTCTTTCAAGAACTCGTGTGTTTGTTTCGAAGCTACAATGGTGACATTCAAAATGCTGTTAGAATCGCTTTGTTACAGATAAAGATTTCCACATAAATGGTGCAACACATGCTTGATTATGTTTTGGAAAAATCAAGTCCATCAACTGGTACCCGACATGGGAAAAAGAAAAAGAAAGTAACAACCCAGTTGAAACCTAATGATGCGGGCCATACCTGATGCAACAAGCTCACATTTTTAAGCTCTTTACTTGACATTCTGTTACTAAAGAAAGACATAGACAACAGGTCTGATCTTATTCAGCCACTGTTCAAGCACTTAACCATAGTTTTCATGGACAAAGAGTGGATACAAGAATCTGTGAAGCAGGATCAGTAACTTCTAGAAGCTTCTGTTGAAGTTTCACAAAGTACAGATGTCACAATGTGTTATATTCAATATAATCTTTTATCAATCCTTGAAGACATCTCAAATTCCCTTATTCCAAATAATGAAGCTGCTCAGAGTTTTGACATAAACCTATTGCTTAATTGTACACGGTCTACAAATGATCCAACTACACGTAATCATGTCTTCTCATTGTTGTCAGCAGTTTCAAAAGTTTTACCAGAAAGAATATTGGATCACATTCTTGATATTCTTAGTGTCATTTGCGAATCAGCTGTAACACAGGTATTAATATATTAATCTTTATGATAAATTGTGTTCATAATCTGTAAATGTGTCGTTTTTTTAATACAAGTTGTTTTCTGCAGTGGGATAGTCACTCCAAGAAAGTATTTGAAGACATGATTTCCACTATTGTCCCATGTTGTGGGGATCTCATGGAGCTTGTAGTCACACACATGCAACTTGTTGGGTCAAGAAGAAAGCAAAATGGTGTTTCAGATTCACTAGGAAAGGAATTGAAGGAGTTTTGACATAAAACTATTGCTTATTATTATTATTATTATTATTATTATTATTATTATTATTATTATTATTATTATAATAATAAAAATAATAATAATAATAATAATAATAATAATAATAATTATTATTATTATTAATAATCACATATCACATATAAATCATGTTTCTTTAATCATATTGACCAACTTATTTGGTTTTGATAGGCTCTAGGGCTTGTATGTGACATGGGAAAAGAGTTGACCATGTTGACTCAAAAGCATAACAAGAGAGTAATGAATCCATGTGTCAGATGCTCATGGCTTCGTTTTGATGAAGTTGCATCGCGGCACTTTGAAAAAATGTTACATGAGATCTTGAAGATAGTTGATGATAATATCAACACTTCAAAACATGCTTCCTTGAGACTTTCTTCCATTTCTACCCTTGAAAGTTTAGTGACAATTTTTCCTTCTAGTGATTCCGTTTTTAACACATGTCTAGCAATTGTCATCAAACACATACATTCAGAAGACTTGGCTATATCTTCCGGATGCTTCCGGACTGTTGGCGCTTTAATTAATGTTCTTGGACCCAGGGCACTCCGTGAATTTCCTAGTATCATGAACCATGTCTTTTAGAGGTGTGATGACATGTCATCAAATTCAAATGAGTCTCTCTTCATGTCTATTCTTGTTACCATAGAAGCTGTTATCGATAAACTTGGAGGTTTCCTAAATCCTTATCTGCCATGATTTGGAGTTGTCAAAGACCTTATTTTTCTTGATTGTGTTGCATTCACTAATAAAGATTCAGAAAGGTAAGTTTGTCTATTCCAGTTTTATCCTTGCTAAACTACCATGTGTACATGTGCACATTCTGATTACTTCATTTTCTCTGATATTGGTTCAGATCTTGGTCAATTCTCTGCAATATATGAATCCTGTTTTCCAGTTGTTACAAAAGAGTGGGAAAAGTTAGAGACAGCTGGGGTTAAAGTTTCTACAGATGAGGTATCTTTGAAGAGATTTAGATTTTTTATGAGCATTTCATGATTTACAGCTTTTGTATTAACTTTTACACTTGATGCTTACATTGTTACAAAAGAGTGGGAAAAGTTAGAGACAACATGGTTTTGATTTTGTGATAAAGGGATCTTTCAGGGGTTCTTTCTGGATTGACCAAGGAGTTCAACATCGACAAGTTTCTAGGGGTATTTTTGGAATCCCTCATGGAGTACAGTCATGATGATGATTCGTGCCTTAAAATGTTGCTTTCCATGATAAAAGTCGTTCCTGTTAATGTTTTAGTTGGTCGTTTATGCTTCTCACAAGGCTGTGACCGAATACAAGGAGGCTAAGGCTATATGTGTTCTTGATATGCTCTTTCCGGAATCTTTTAAACAAGATTTAGTAATCTTTTTTGTTAATATGTTGGTTGGTTGTTTGTAATGCAGCTTGGAGTTGAAACTGTCCCGGTCTTTGTTGGCCCAGTCAGCTACTTATTGCTATCAAAATGCGTGACAAATTCCAATTCTTCTTCAATTCCATATCCTGCCAACACATTGCTACGGTTGAATACAAGGTAGGGGCATTCATGTCTTTTCACCAATCTTGTTGCATATTCTTAACTTATCTAATTTTGGCAGGTTGATCCTGCTACATGGCCAATAATGATCTTTAGGGTCTGCTAAAAGGATTGGAGATTGCAGTTCAGCTTCTATCTTAGACTTCACGCCAAGTCCTTGATGAATATAAGCTAGCAATGTTTTACTTGATTTGGACATGAACCCTAAGATATCATACTTTGGCATGGCTAGAAGCTTTGACATGGCTAGAAGCTTTGGAGGACATTATTTGTATTTGACATATTAGTGAAATGATTTATCTTTGTTATTTATGGTCTTTTATTTTGTATTATGAGATTTTTAATGTGTTTTTTAATTTGAAAATTAGTAAATCTATCAAAATATACAATTTTTAAAACATTTAACTTTATGACACGCAAAAATGTGTGTCGTCTTTCTTTATGACATGGGCTTTAATGATACGCAATGCGCGTCGTAAATGTGCGTCGTAAGGTTACGACACGCAAATGCGTGTCGTCTTCTTTATGTCAGGGCCTTCCTTGACACGTATTGTGTGTCGTAAGAGCGCGTCATAAATGCGCGTCGTAAATAGACGACGCGCAAAAGCGCGTCGTCTCTCGTTATGACAGGGCCTTCCTTGATGCGCATTTGTGCTTTGTCTGAGCGTTTTATGACGCACATTGCACGTCGTAAAAGGCTGTTTTTCTAGTAGTGAAAGGAGCGGTAGCAGGAAGATAATGGGTTTAGTTGCATGAGTTGTTTGTTCATTGGTATGGTATCCTGGGAGGTGATTTGGAATATCAGGCTGGTTAAAATTTCAAGAGTATTTATCAGGATTTCAGGATTTGGGCGATCATTGAGTTGGCTAGCGAGGGAACGCTAGTATTGATTAGCGCAGGTCAATACTATATGAGGTTGATGGGTTGGGAATCCATCGGGATTTAAGAGATGAGAGAGCTTTGTCGATGTAACGCCCATTTTTCTAGGCTAGGCATTAATGATGATGTAGTAGTCTAGGCCAACCTTTGCAATTTGTTTTGAAGTAATAAAGATGTATTATTTGAGTGTTATGTGCTTTATACTTAAATATTATGATTTAATAAATTAAGGATAAAAATAAGCGTAAAAAATAAGTGTTAGATAAAGCCGATATCTATGAAGAAAGTTGTAGTGGTTGAAACAAGGATTCCGGAGATATAAAGAATACTGAAATCCGAGTTATAACAAGGAAGTTATGACCTGTCGAAGTTTCGCGACAGAACCGGCACGATGCTGTGTGACGTAAAAAGTGAGTTTACGATAAAGTGATTTTTAGCCTTAGCTCTCTAAATGAAAGTCGCAGTACACATTAAACCGAGAGCATGCATAAAAAGAATGTCCAAATCTGACTTTGTATGAGGAAGTTATGAATTTTCTAAGATTTGGTATAGCAGTGTGCAGTCCGGAACTCGAATTATAGATTGAGTGATTTTTAGCTGACACAACCTAAACGAGAATCGAAGATCTTGTCGATAGTAGTTTAACGGTCAAAAGACAGACGAAAACGGACGTCGGATAAAGAAGTTATGAATTTTTAACGGACTTTTCCTATCCCGACCTGTTAAAATATAACTTTAAAAATAAAGTCAAAATTAGCCGACGGAGTCTAAACAAAAGTTGTAGAGTATAATTTCACCTACGAGTGGATATAAAGAACGTCAAAAACGGAGCCCGTATGTGAAAGATATGAATTTTTGAAGTTTCAGGCACAAACTTCGAGACTGGAAGTACGCCCAACGTACTTATGTGTACACGGTCCGTAATTGGCCACGTCGCCTACTCCTCTGCATGGTGCACACGTGTTCCTAGCCTTGACGCGTCTGAGATAATCCCTTCGTACGCACAACATACTCGATCTACGCCCAACATAATGGCTGGTGAAGTAGTACGCCCCGCGTACCAGGATATTACGACCAGCGTAATTCGAGGCATCAGCCACTATAAATAGAACGCAAGGCCATCTGAATTTTGTTTACAAATTTACATCCTTTCACCTTATTCTTTCTTTTAAGATGCAATAAATACCCCAAGCCTAGAATACCATCCTAGCATCAGTAGAAAGCCCCGGAGAGCCCGAAAACCCCGAGAAAAAGAGTTTTCGAGTCGAAACTCTGCCCGCGTGAAGCCCGATTTTTGGGAAAACATCCCGGTTTCATCGGAAAAGATTGTTTTGAGAAATGAAGTGCTGTTCAATCATCGTTAAATGAGGTGAGTGTGTAGTCACTTTCATCGTACACATAGATATGAAGTATTTTCTATAAAATACGTGTTATGTGTATAAATATTGTTTGTTTATTTGAGATGAATATTAAACGAAGTTTTTATACATGTTTATAATGATTAAAACTGTATATGTATTTTTTTTATCTACAAATATGTTGGGTATAACATGGGTAGATGAAATAGTTGATGTATGTTAAAATGATGAGAGGCTTCGATGTTGTTGTTGTTCCAATCATCTAGCAGAGTATAGATGACGACCACAGACCTTTCTAGACAGTCCAGTGGAAGGCTAGCAGGCTCGCAACCTATAGGTGTTTTTAAACTAAGTGTTCACCAGATGTACTCCATCCCCCACATGGTTGCCGTACGGACATATATGGCTGAGGAATCCCCTTAGCAGTAAAGTCCATCCCGATGATGATCCATAGGCTAGGTCCCTTATGATAGGTGTTTTGGGACGTAAAGTGAGGATAACGGGAACGGGTAATCAGGGTTATTGTTGGTTGATGAAATTAATAAATTTATTGTTGGTTGATGAAATTAATAAATTTATTATTATTTGTGGGTTGAAAACCCTATATGCTCACCAGACTCCCAAGCCTGACCCACTCAGCTTTTTATATTACAGGTAGTGGAACAAGAGCATAGTTGGATGATGACGAGGGATTTTGGAATATATGCCAGTAGATGTAAATAAATGTTGTAAGGCCTATATTGTACTGTTTATGCTTTTGGTCTGTATCGGAACATGACATCCCGAGGTTTTGTAATATAATGAAAATACATTTCTTTAAGAAATGCTTTGATAAATTTTTATCATACTTTGTTTTGGGGAAAAATTCCGCAACACCTATTGAAAGATTACTTTGATTTTATTTTAAAAAGCATAAACAAAATCGGTATTTTCTGGCCATGAAAAATGGGGATGCCACAGTTGGTATCAGAGCATTAGTTTAAGCGAACTAGGAATTTGTAGGATTTATAGACTTAAACTTAGAATCCTAAGTGATGATCGTGAGATAAATGTCTAGCATATTTTAGACACGAGCACTAGTATATTTTAGGAAAGATGCCTAAAATGCTTTAGGATTCTAAGCGTAAGACTACGTTATTAGAACTAGCATGTAAACATTTCGGATCTATGGTCTGTTGCCGACCGGATCTGGAAACCTTATGTGTTTAGGATTCTAAGCGTATGACTACGTTATTAGAACTAGCATGTAAACGTTTCGGAGTGATAAGGAGAATTTAAGTGTCTATCATGAATAAAGATCTAAATTCGCCTAATTTGATGTATAGATCAAAATGGCAAGAACCCGAAGTGGAGCTGGAAATGCAAATAGAAATCAGCAACCTCAACCCCAAGTGATGGAACAGGTGCCTATAGCAGAAGCTGCACCAGAACCAATCACAATGGATGGATTATAAGCCATGATTCAGGCTATCATGGTTGAACAAAGGGAAGAAATGAGACAACTGTTGCTAAACAATAGGAATGAACCTTCAATGCCTGTTGAACAACCTGAACTAAATGACATACAATCAGAGGAAGGAAATTACAGCCGTACTGTCAATCAAGTGGAACCTACATTGGCAGAAAGAAATAACCCGGAGAGGGAAATCAACAGAGATGGGCGTATGTATAAGAATTTCTTTGGTGCCAAACCGCCGAGTCTTCCCGGAAGCCCAAAACCTGTAGAGATTATGGACTGGATCTCCGAAATGAAGATGGTATTTGAAAGCTGCAACTGTAGCGACAAGCAGAAAACTGTTTTTGCGGTCAGACGACTG